GCTTCAGGATTATTACTTTCACATGTTTCATTCCAAGGAAAGGGAAAACATCCAGAGCCTTTTCAAATGCTACTGCCTTAGCATCAGGAGTGGGAGTAACTTGAAAGGTGAAACAAAAATCCCTGTCTGTATCTGCAATTTTTGCTACATTCTGTGCATTCTGGGCTTTCATTCAAAATAAACAAATTTTTAAAGGCCAAAAATTAAATCATATGCTAAGAAAAAAACTTTATTTTTTTCTCTTATTCAGAAATAGCATCATTGCAATGAAAAATAAATGAACTCTTGTTGCCTGTTAACAAACCAGCTCTGTGGAGAGCTGTCTCCAGCCAAACAACTCCCCTGGCTCAAGATCTGACCTTTATTCCTGGGTTCAGAGAGAAGTCCTGTGCAGCCATTTAAAAGCTGATACCAACTATGCCTGGAGCATGCATCTGAGAAGCAAAGTGGGGAACAAGGCACTGCTGGCCCCACAGGTGAGCAGTGCCACTGCCATGCCCAGTGAGATGGAAGAGGTGAGGCATGAAGCTACATAGGGGTCAACACACAGCCAAAACAACAAATACACCTGGGAGGAACAAAACCACCCTTGGGCACCCTGTGTGCTTGAAACTGTACCCATTTTTGACTTCTCTATTTGCTCCAGACCCTGTTTCCCCATTTGGATCAAGCAAGCACTCCAAAACCTACAGGACTGCTTTCACAGTTTTGAAATCGACTGGGCAGGTTGATTCATACTGGAGGGTGTTTTAGACAAGGTTCCCAAGACGCTGTCTCTCATAAAATTGTCATTTCTGTTTCACTCCCTGCCTCGTGACAGGGAGGGGTGCTCAGAGCAGTCTCAACTGCTCTTTACAGCTCAGGATTTCACCCCTCCTGGGAAGCAGCGCCAAAGATGTGCTCAGAGGAAGAGCCTTGCTTTCCACAAAGGCGTATCCCAGAGGCTTGTGCAAAGCAGATGGCAACACATCAGGAGGAGAGTCATGTAGGGGATTTCCAGGGAGATCTTTGTTCCCTGGGGCCTGCTGTAGGGAGGAGACAGAGTCTTTCTAAAGCAGGGCTGGAGAAGCTGGGAAGCATCTCTGGTTCCTTTTCTGTCTTTAACTTTGCTGCAGCCATCAGGGCATAAGCCCTATTGAAAGGGATTTTTCTGTCTCCCCTGCCAACCTCTGCCAAGGTGAAGGGCCAGAGTGTCAGTCATGGGGTACCCAAGACATTATGTTCAACCAACCCACCCTCACACCACTCTCCCCTGAGACAGCACAATCAAGACATCAACATTCTCCTTCCTACACCTCCACAGGATTTTTTTTCCTTCAGCGTTGGTTTCCCATGCATAGGTGTTGGTGTGCAGGTGTGCCAGGGTTTAACCCCAGCCAGCAATGAAGCACCACACAGCTACTCACTCTTCCATCCACCCTGATGGGATGGGGAAGAGAATCAGAAGAGTAGAAGTGAGAAAACTTGTGGGTTGAGATAGAGACAGTTTAATAGGTAAGGCAAAAGCCATGCATGCAAGCAAAGCAAAACAAGGAATTCATTCACTGCTTCCCATGGGCAGGTAGGAATTGCTTTTATCACAGAATATTCTGAGTTGGAAGGCACCCATACTTCAGTGAGCCAGCACATGTTGATTTGGAAAGATGTTCCTTTGCAAAGCTGAGTCATAAAGAGTATTGAGAAACTCTGCAATCAGTGATTAAACAAGAAGAAACATCCACCAGCAGGGAAGTGCCCAAAACTGTCATGCTGAACTCTACTTTTTATTTCAGTGTTTTGCTTTGGGTAAAAGGTTTCATTTGTTTCATTTGTCTGAGCATGATGCATTTCAAATTTCAGATCCTCTCCTCTTATCTTACAGCAACATTCAATTATGTTGATCTTGTACTTCTACAGTTGTGTGGGAAGGTGTCTGAACTTTTTGTTTAATGGTAGAAGACATTTCAATTGCTTTTTTGGACTCCAATTAGGAAAGATCTTAAATTAGACATTGGGGATATAAAAAAAAATGAACAAAACTGGAAAACAAGGGAGAATATTTGCCATGGCAATCCTTCTCTATTTTCTTTTGGGACATGAAAAGTATGTGCTGAAGAAGACACATCCCCAACACACACATCTCTTAAACCCAAATCCACCTAGCTTCCCAGTCCAGACACGGGTGGGGTGGGTGATGCAGCCACCCACATAGCACAGGCATGGGCTCTGCTATCCCAGCACTAGGAGTCCCAGTGTCCTATCACACTGCCAGTGTCACACTGCACACCCAGTGCCAGACTGTCACTCAAGTCGCAATGCAGGTCAAAGTGCTGCAGCACATGGTATCTTTCAGGATGTGGTTTCTGGGATATTTTACTTCCACTGGTACTTTTAAAAATCTGCACATTAGATTCAGGCTCCTCAACCCAGTTTTCTCACAGGGATTGCACAAAAGATATGTCTGAGACTTGCCTGGGACCTTGAACTGCTGATCAATCAGACCTCACAGTCACTCTAAAAACGTGCACCCAACTCTCACCTAGGCATAGGGTCTGGATGTGGAATTTAGCAGACAGATCCTCAGGAATCAAGCAGTATTTGCACTGACCCATCTGCTGCAGCAGCTCCCACAAAGGACTAGAAAAAAAGCATTTGCCATTATTGAAATCTGTCTTGTGCAACGGATTCCGCTGAGAGCAAAGCAGATATTATGAATGAGCTGACAAAACCAGCCTGCTGTTGGCATAGGCACCAAGCAGAGACAGAGTAGCTACACTGGAAGTGTTTCATCCATTACTGTCAGAGAAGTCCTTTTACCACTGATCTTGCTCAAATAAATCATGTTGCCAAGCAGTTTTATAGAGGCGTTATACATCCAAAGCTACTTATGGTCCTGTTAAAAGAGATGCATTTCTTTTTTAGCTCAGTGTGGCTGAAATGCTGCCACGGAAGAAAGAGTTGTTGCTCAGAGCGCTATTGTAAAAGAGGTATTTTTGTAATTACAATAGGGAGGGACCATGTGAGCTAAGGAACCACTATCTTCTTCCTCTGACCCATCGCCTCCGGGCAGCATTGCAAAGCTGAAAATTTGCTACCACAAGCACAATAGCTGCTCACACAGTCTTTGCCATGGGGATTGATGAAAGTGGGGAAATAATGATGTTACTTCCTCATTCACCATAAATCACCCATCCCTTCAAAGTGACCGGAGTATTATAAGTCTGGTCAGATTTATATGGACAACTTAACCAATTAGCTCTTTTATAAAGGCTGTCATCTTCTTAATGCAGTGTTAGATGCATTTAGGCATATATCTACAAAAGAAAGTATTTCTTTCTGAAGCTAACAAAGCTCTCATTCTAGCAAACTTAAAATTTTGGTCTCCAAATGTTCACCCTGTGGCTGTGTTTGCACTAGCAAGTTATTCAGTGACTGCAGAAGCCAACCAATAGATCAAAGTAGCTGGTCTAGATACACACTACATATACACATATTTATACACATAACACACATACATATATTTACATAGATATGGTTTGCCACCATTAATGCCAGCAGGAAAATTCCTTACTAACGAGTAGAGTAGCTTAGGAAGACAGCATGTCCAGCACAGCTAAATCTACATGGCACATGTATAATTTCCATCAAGATTATGCTTTTGAATTTGACTCTGTTTAAATGTAGCCCTTCCCATGGCCAGTTGTATTGCTGTCATACTGCTGCTTTGCATAGCATGGCGAGGGATCTGTCCATCTGCTAATAAGCATCAAGGGCACTCCTGTCTCTGGAACGCAGAGATAATTCCCAAAGCCATTACCCTGCTGAGCCTGTCCAGCCCAGCAGGCAGCACAGGCAGCTGTGGAGCTGCTCCACTGCACTGACAAGTGAGGCAATGGGAATGGGGCCACAGACAGCAATGTGGTCTGTGACACACAAACCCACCGCATCCCAACAACTCAGCAAGGCATCCTCCAGCAGTGCCGAGGTACCTTAGCAAGAACAAACATCCACCTTCCAGTTTCCCCAGCACTGTTTTTTTAAATCCACACACGACAGGTAATGTCACGCTGCCCTGTCAAACAACAGAAAAGTACCAAAATCTCTCCATTTCAGCATTTGCTTGAGGCAGAAAAGGGCACTGGACAGGCACAGAAAAGAAATAAGGAGGCCTCTAGGCAATCTGCGGTACTATTATCTCTTGGAAAACAAATATAGGAGGGAACAGAGAAAAACTTTTTTTTTTTAATTTAACATCAGTTCAGGAGTCAATTGTGTGTAACACAGTGCCTGTGGCCACGCTGGCTTCAGGTCAAAATCCAGAACACACCTCTGGCTTCTGGCCTCAGCACAAAGAGGTTTCTGGAAATCCTCCAATGTCAACAGTGAGTCTGGCTGTCCAAACAAACATGCACTTGCAGTGGCAGAGGTGTATCAAAAAGATGGCCGATGCAGCTGCCTAAGGAGCAACCTGCTGGAAACCATCAGCCAAAGTGTATTTCTATCCTTCCATATGTAAGGAATTCCTTCCCATAGGACAAAAGGATGCCATGGATAGTAACTGTAAGTCTAGAAAGCAACTGGACAAATGCAGGGAATAAAGTCTACCTGGGTCCATTAAGCACAATAACAAAAATCCCTCGGCCACATTGTACTAAAGATAGAAATATTTAGAGGAGGTATCAGCCCACAGTTGCACTGATTCTGTAATCTGTCTCAGGTGTCCACTACTGTCCATCACTGGCAGCAGGGCACTGACCTACACAGGCCTCAATGGCACAAAATGTGTAACATTTCTGGATTGTAGATCATGTTGAAAAGCAGTCATGAGTATTTGCTTGAACACTCGTGTTCACTGTCTGTGAACCGCAGCCACAGACACACACCATTTTCCTCAGGTGAGCAGGCCCCTAGTTTCTACATTAACACAAATGCATCACTCAAAGCCTCTCAGAGGAAAAAATGAAAGAGATTATTTCATCAACTCCCATCTTGCAGTCAAATAATGCAGGGCCACACCAGGATACCTAAAATAGCAATTTATTGGAAAAAGCATTATGACTATTTATAGATGCTGTGACATGATTAGTACCTGAAAAAGAAGAATAAACTGGCAACCTACAGTCCAGCAAATCAACAATTCCCACTGAGCTCACAAAGTCAACGATCAACACAGAAGTTGTAAATCACAATATTATATTTATTTCAAAACTCCAGAAAATGCAGACAAAACACAAGCATCTTTGCATACAGAAAAGGCAATTCAGTTTGCTTAAGGCTTTGATATAATTTAACACTGTTTATGAAACTCTATCCTGCCTGCCACATGCAAAAGGCCAGTAGCAGGGCTGCTGTAGGCAAAGCCTACAGATGTGATTACTCTTATAGTTTGTTCAGAAGCTCTCGCTCTCTGTTTAGAGTGTATGCATGTTATGGAAAAACCCACCATGCTGCTGAGATGCGCAGTTCTCTTCAAGGTTTATAACTGGCCTTCCTAACATCTGAGATTTCACAGGATAAATTTTGAGAAATGTCAAGGTTTTGATAATTGCAGGACATTCACCACTGGTAGCCAGAAAGGACTGTATCCACAGTCTAAACACAAAGTCCAAAATGAACCTGAGAACACATAAATCAGACGGCACTGTGCTCTTCCATTCCTTACCCATACAGGTAAAAATAATACAGGACATGAATAGGTCCCTTTGGATTTAGGAATGGGCTTAAAGGGGCATTTGCTGCTTAAAAAATTCCTTTGAAAGCTAATCCTTTGTCTGTCTTGATTTATCTTTTGATTCTCCCTCCTCTGCATTGCAATCACTAACTGCAGCCAGTAGCTTTTCCCTTGTTGTTTGTTTTTAATTAAGTGATATCTGCTCTTTTTACCCATCATGAACTAGCTGCTCTTGCACAGTCCCCTCAAGTGACTGAAACACTCTCATGAGGTCCGCAGCAAAGCTCTTTTATGGCTCAGCAAGAGAGAAAAGGAAAGCACATCAGAAACTCAAGTTTTCTCCTTTCACTCCTGAGATTAGTTCTCTGTAAGCAAACAGCTTGATCAGCCAAAAGCCAAGATGCCACCTGACAAATGTCTCTTTCAGCTCCAGGGGAAAATGGCCTTTGGAAGGCACCTGAGCTTTCGGGCACTTAATCATCAGAGGACCACACCTCTTTTAGTAGAGGTAATGAATTATACAGGCACCCACAGCAGCATGGTGTGTGAGTGCATTCCCACTGAGGGCATTCTGCTGTGTCTCTGGCAGAGCCCACAGCTAAAATGCTGGTTTGATGCCTAACAGTTCAATATTGTTGGTCTTCTTGAAACAAGACCCACACTTGGTATTGTATTTGAAGTTTCCAAAAGGCTGTTATTCATCATTTGATATAAGTCCCAGTTTTCAAGAACAGTCATGTTCTCCTTCTCCTCTAAAGAAAACAGCTGCTCTCAGTAGCCTTTCAAAAACAGACACCATTTAAGAGAAGTTTTTTTAAAGATTGGCACCCACAGTAGTTTCACTATATGTTCACCATTCTTCAAATGCACCCTCAGATCACAAATGATAAGCATCTGCTTTCTTCCCAGCCTGTATTTTTCTAATTCAATTAGATTACCAGACACATTTTAGCTTTGGCCCTTGTATAGGCTGGTTTTAAAGAAATGTTACACAAAAGCAACAGGAAGGTGAGGAAATGATCTTGGGGTCTCCAGGTCACATTGTCCAGCTGCTAGCTGAGATCAAGACATAGCACGCCCCAAAATGTCTCACCTCAAACAGAAGAACAGCTGCAAACAGAAACCTGGATCTTTCTCTAAATGACATTTCTCAGTCAGACGACAGAAGCGTTGATCTCCTGCACACTCTGAATTAAAAGATGTTTATTTTCACTGTGCTGTGCTGGCAGCAATGCCTGTGTCCCTTTAGACTGCTTGTGGAATGGCAAAGATAAAAGCAGCATTTTACAGCTGCAGAAAAGTCAAGGAGATAAAAAACTCACTGTATGACTGTGTGCACTTTCATCATGTTCCCCTGCCCGTCTCAGGTGAGACTAATAGTCTGCCAACACTTGGACGTGACTCCTGTCAGGCACCAGTCTTGCTAATTAAGTACTTTTGGCTTTCTCAGCATTGAACTATGGGAGCACAAAGGAGATAATGCAAGCCACAGAGAGATCAAGAGAGTCTGTGTAGCTGAGGACCTGGTCTGGAATGAAGGAGCAGGACCATCAGGAGGGTCAGCAAGTGTTCTTCTAAAATGGCTGGTCAATAAAAGACTACGGCATAGGTGTGGAGAAAGGCAATGATAGTTTTTCGCCTCTGCTGAATTATTAGTTTATTTTAAAGAGAACAGGGACATAGGGTGGGGTGGTTATCAGTGCAAGGCAGCAGCACGGGGAGCCAGATGTTCACTCTTTCACAAACCAGACCTCATTGCGTCGTCCATAAGGCTTCATAGGGGGGTCATAACCATTGCACAAGTAGAAATCCTTGCGGTATGCAGCTTCACTCCCCAGAGCAGCCTTCAGCTTGGCAGCATAGTTCACGTAATCCGCCTCTTTGGCATAGCCACCAAACTGCCTGTAAAGAGAGGTGTTGAGCAGTCCTGGCAAAGCACAGAAAGGGAGAGAGAGAGAACAATATATAGCCAGGGTATATTTAGACACGCATTTTGGTCCAGGTCCTGCCAATATGTACTCATGCATGCACTGTTCATTGTGAACCAGCACACTTCAACTTCATCTGTGATAGATGACGTCTCAACGGTTACACAGCCAGGGTGCAATCATCCATTGGCAGACCCCAAATGGATCCCCCCAAACATCCCCATGTGTATCACTCAGCAGAATGGCCCTGCCCTTTGAATCAACACCGTATCAGAGGAACAACTTTCTAGGACACAAGGTTATGTCCGTCAGCTCAGCCCACAGTCCTAACACCAACGCTATCAACAACCATATTCACTGTGGTGTTAACAATCATCTGCTGGAAGCCTGATCATAAAGGAAAGCCAAACTCTAGCTAGCCCAAGAAAAAGGGGAGACATTGGCAATTATAGCACATGATGCTATTTAAAAGGAGTGGGCTGGAATGAGTCTGGTTTATGTCGAACTCCCACCAAGAGGAACTGTTTTCACATCAGCCTGCATCTCACCACCTTGCTTCAGGGCCAAGCTTTGAGACAAAACAGCCTGATATGGCAGAATTGGCCCACGCCCAGAGCAAAGGCCAAGCAGCAATTGCAGGCAAGTTCAGAGTCAGCCAAAATAGTTCAAGAAAGGAAGCAGAGGAACTTTCAAATGGTTAAAGACAAGGTGAAGATCTTAGTGCTAATGTTATGCTAGTTTTCATTCAGGCTGCCAGTCAAGAGCCAAAGACATCCAAAGGTGATTTGAAGCAATGAAATGGTTGCTTGTTTCCATGGTGAACTCTAGTGTGAGTCCATCTAAATGAGACTTTAGCTGACACCTGTAGTTTGACATGAACCACATCAAAGGATGTTCTTGATGACTATGAACCATTTGGATCCCAGTAAGTGGGGAAAATAATAGTTTTTGTATAACAGAAATGACTCAGTATCTTTCAGGGCTAACCTCCACACTAGTTTAAACCAGTGGAAAAAAGTCCATATTCCAAATCAGTGCAACATGACTAAAGGTAAGAAATTAAATAAAACACCTGTCTTCAGTGTAGACATACCCGTCCATCTCTACCACATGCACCTTTGTCCAGCAAGTCACTGGTAAAACAAACACTGCACTTCAGAGCATGCTAAAAAGACCTCAGCGCTTAGGACTGGAAATCCCAGGATGCATTTCTTACGTGGAATAAATGGTCATCCCCTGTCTCTCTTCAATCTTAATGCTTTCATCAGTAGGATGAGGAGGGTTGTCTTGAAACTGGCTCGGGATTCGCAGAGACACTTTCACTTTCTGCTGAAAGGAGCCATCTTCAGCAGGAAAAGCAGTGATGGAGACAGGAGCAGTCATGCCCATACCAACCCCTGAAAGAGACCACAGACACTGCTGAAGAAGTCAAGGTTCTCAGGAACTCACAAAATTAACAGGAGATTCACAAAAGCTAATTTTAGTTTAGGAAAACTCCTCATACTGAATTTCTTGTATATTCAGTCAGGAGTGGGCCCCTCTGGGGCATGCAGGCAGAACAATCATATCAGGCTTCTGCTTGGGCCAAGCTCTCTCTCCACACAAGGGCCGTGGGAGACAAGGCCCCCAGGTGATCTCTGGAGCACTTTTTATTAATGGTGCTGGTTTTGTGGTTCTTGGAGACACTCTGTTCTATTGACAAATCACTTCTAACACAACAGGGTCTATAGTTCTGGGGCAGGCCACTGGCACATAAAAATCTAAATCAGCATTTAAATTGATACCATCTGCACTTAGTCATGAACCCATAGCCAACACTGGGTGACAGAAGCTTTCTCTTAAACCCTTCCAAATCCTTCCAGACATCCAACAAGTTCCAGTACCCCAAAACATAGTGCTGTTATGGTTTTAAACAGAACTGACCATGCTGTCCACACTCCAGGAACAGCATGCTTTTTCCCCGCTCATTAGCACCAAGAGCCATCACATGGTACTGAAGACCATTTTTCTTCACTCTTCTTGCAGCAGTAAGGAACCTCCAAACCTCAGGATCAGGCAGCCACAAAAACAACTGAGATCAACCCATCTTTCTCATTTATTTTCCTTTGATACCATAGCTGTGTTTGTGTCCCATGTTATAGAAGGCACCTTTTCTGCTACAGCAACGGGGATCATCACCTTTCCAAAACACACTGCTGTAAATGCCATTTCCCACTGCATCCAGCTCCTACTCCCACAGAGACTATACCAGTACCTCTACTAGATGCTGGAGAAAGGTGTGTGAGCACATGTATACGCCTCAGAACTACTCTGTAGTCGTCTCCTGCTATAAATGGTTAAAATGCACTTACTTTAGTAAAATGAGAATTAGAAGCAATCACCTGGAAGCACTGTTATAAAACATTATGAAATACCATTAAAAAGGAAGCTTCAGTACCCTTTCATGAATAAAAACTGCTAGATAAAATGTCAAGAGCGGTTATTTCACTGCCTACAAGGCACATCACAGAACCCGTGTCCCAGATACCCTGGATTTCATCAGCTACTGCTCACCCAGGGAGCTGTGATAGATACATGTCTGCCTGTCCTCATGTTGTACCAGCTGCAAGGTAACTCATTCCTGCTTAAACAAATAATTTTTGACATTTTACTCTGAAACAGAGATGGGTTATAAGTGGACTCAGCATCAGTTGGTTGGGCACGATTTAAACTGGCGAGTTTACTTCTCCCAGTGATGAGCCATGCCCATCACAGACTCCCAGTGCCGGGAGCCACAAGCCAGGCGGACCCGCGGTGCCATCGCCTCCATCCATGCTGCCTTCACCAAGCCTCAACCACAAACATCCGCCAAGCCCCCTGGGGCAGGCAGCATCTCTCACCCTTGTCGTTGCTCCCTCCGACGTACTTGAGGAGCTTGACTGCCCCTTCCTTCGAGGCTTCGTCGAACGGCTTCCCCACCAACTCCACCGCCGCAAACCGCCCGCCCTCGCACGCTCTCTCCTCGTAGCTGACCTGCTCCTGGGGAAGGAGGTGGGGGATGGAGACGCTGCCAGGAAGAATGCGCTGCCCGGAGGTGATACTCTCTTCCCCTCACAGCGCCTCATCAGTCCCCGCTGGCGCAGAACCCCCGCAGGGAACAGCGCCGGCCGCCCGCCCCGCCACAGACCTTCTCGCCCTTGCTCAGCACCCGGCAGGGGCAATGCCTCCACCGTGCTCAGCAGGAGTTCTTCACCATGACCCAGCATGGTGCCCACGCCCGCTCGCTCCGGGATGCCGCTCGGCTCGGCTCTGCCCCCGCTCGGCTCGGTCGGCCCCGCTCGGCCGCGGTGGGAGGGCCCGGGGCCGCCCCGCCGCCTGAGAGCGCGTGCCATCGGCCCGGGGCGCGCCCCGGGGCGCCTGCGCCGCGGGGGCTGGGGCCGGAACGGCCGGGACCGGGCGGGGGAGCGGGCACCGCGGGGAGCGGGCACCGCGCGGGAGCGCGGCACCGCAGGGGGAAGCGGGCACCGCGGGGAGCGGGCACCGCGGGACGGGACCGCGCGGGGAGCGGGGACCGCGGGGGCTTGGGGCAGCGGGAGGCGGGCCCCGAGGGGGAGGTGATGGAGGGCGCCGAGAAGTGTGAGGAGTAACGAAGTGCGGGAGCAGATGGTACTCGTCTGGAGGAGAGAGATAGAGGGGAGAGGAAGTACTGGCGAAGCGCGTAGAGTGGCACAGTGCTCCTGCAACTGCAAAATCATAACTTTTTTTTTTTTTTAATTTAATAAAAAGAACTAAAGGGGAACACAGTCGGTTTTTAGGTTTTTAAGACAGTGAATTTGAGGCAGTGCTCTCTGTCTCTGGATGTTGTAAGGTTTAGGAGAGGGGTAGATCTTAGAAGCCCCTAATGATACTTGGTCTCCCTTGACTGACCACCCAGCCAGTCACCTCTGCTTAAAATTCCGTCCAAATCCCATCCCAGAAATACACGTAAATGAACACAACAGGGAGCTTAGATGACTTATGTAGCTGGATATATTTATATGCATAGAAGACTTAGACACTTCATGACCACAAGTGTTTTTTTGTTGTGTAAGCCATGTCAAAGGACAAGTACTAGCTAGAGAAAGTGTCTTGCACAGGATCTTTCAAGAAGAGGTTAGCAAAGGCAGAAATCAAATACCAGTCCCTAGGAATCAGTCCCATGGATCAGACCAACTTCCCCAGGCAGATGAGACAGTCACCTCGAGGTCATTGCTCAGCTGGACTCCTGCCTACTCAAATGGAAGGTGAGAGGTGCAGAAGTAGGCTGACACATAACTTTCCTATACTCTTAAAGAGCAAAAAAGAAAACTGTAAAAGAAATATGACATTAAAGCTTTTCCATCTAAAGAGAGAGGACCGTGCAAAGGCAAAGAAGTTACAGAAGCTGGCTGTGATCATCAGATTGAATAGGCCGTGTTCGGATCAGGGAGCTGGGCTAGAGCCTGGCATGGACTTTCACAGAGTGAATGACAGGCTGCTATCACTGGTGACAAGGCCACAGACCTGGTAATTTATTAACCATTTATATTTTTTTGTTTATTCACCATTATGCAAGAAATTGCAGAATTGTAGTATACATACGTTGCATACTGCAACTTATTTTTTCTCTTAAGGCAAATGGTTTCTCCATTGTGCTGAGAAGTTTTTGCCAAGAGTACCAACTTGCACATATAGGTAGGAACACATGGACTCCTTTGTTTCTGGCAGAAGCTGGTGGTAAAATGGTAAAAAGTAAAAGCATACAGTGGTCTGGTCTGGCCTCCCATCTCCAGCCATCTGTGACTGAGGGAAGTCTCATCTTTCTGTTTCAAGTAGTCCTCAATTAATTTTATACTAATTCAGGTTGCCTGATAGAATGCTCATGTCTAAGATATACCATGAAAGCTGACATTTATGTTGTATTCTTCCTCCAGATAGGCCAAAATAACCAGCAGTCCCTACAGTCCTGAACAAAGCATCCCTTGGAGGGACCAGCAGTGTGTGCAAGCATGCAGCTGATTCTACAGCACAGCCTAGTAGCTCTAAGTGCAGAATAACAAGTTAGGAGCCTTTCTCTCCTGTTATTCCTTGTAATTTATGTAAATATATTCTGGGATCAAAATACTGTACATTTCCTGAGAAATTATGATGACAACTTCAACAAAGGCACAATTGTATCCTTTTATCTGCCTTTTCACAGTCTTGATTTTTCCCTTCTGTAGCTAAACTGTGTTTCAAATTGCCAAGCAAAAGCCAAGGAGAGAGTTTCCAAGTTAGAGTTTTGTTATTTTTTGAAAACCTGAACTCAGAGAATTTACATCCGGGAAATATTTATCAGATTGTCTCATACACTGCTCATATCTGCCCACTCAACTAACTCCCAGGTTGCAGCCAAAATTCTTACTGTGTTATTTCTTCTGGTTCATTCTAAAGATTTCATATGAAACTAGTTTTTTCCCCTTTCCCTCTGGAGGTTATTGTAATGTCACTGAATTTCCTTCCATTAACTCAGGCTTTGGGAATCCTTAAATAGCTTGTCTGCATCCTCAGTGCTTATGACTGGATAGTGTTTGCGAAACAAACTATCATGCCAGCCACCCCCACAATCACTTAGACATGATCCATTCTTTATTTCTGTTCTCATAAATTGCTTCATCCAGACCTTAAAAAAAAATAGTTTTTTTTTCCTCCCTGCCTCTCCTGTCTATGTTTCAACAGATTTCGTGTACACAATATGACTGTTGTGTGAAAATCTCTGTATTGGATTTATCTTCAGAGACCTGAAGGGCAAGCCCACTCTATCCTCTGTTCAGTGCATAATTTGATTTCTGCACTCTTTTATATCACCAGCTTTATTGTCAGGAAGCCACAGGCAAGGACAAGCTGAAGTCAGTGTATTCTGGGTAATCCCCAAGGGACCAAAGTCTTTGGGGTGCGTAGTTGTTAATTTTCTACAGATCTTAATTGTGCTAAAGGGTGTTGGGAAATGTCTTGAGGTCAGTGCTTGCATGTGGAGAAAATACTCTGTGAGTTAGACACCAATTGAAATCTGTGATTTTGGGGATTGAACAATCTCTTAGGCTATTTTGGAAAATCCTTCTAGACACCTATCTATGCCATTCGATGTCTAGATAGTTTTGAAAAAAAAATCCTGTGGTTCCATGGGTCTTGGCAGAAGTCAATTCAATGTCTTTCAAAGTGCTGGAAATTCTGAACATATCTGCTGAATAACATGGTTCTGAGTGCACAGTCTCAGGTAGCTAAAAAACCCCACTTTTGCAGAAGGCGGATGTTCAAATTTGATCCCTAGCAATTAACATATCTTCAGTCTTGAAGGATGATGCACAGACCAAGGTTATCCAACCCTACCCACCCTCTGAACATGTGAACACGAAGAACAGGTTAAGGTTATATTTTGAAACAAAGCTTCCTCTCCTTCTCCCTGCCCAGCTGGAAGTGCCAAGTACTAATCCATCTTTCTGCATTCATCAGTTGTTCAACTCTTTTGAAGTTCAAATTCCCCAGCTGTTTCAGATGGAGTGCTTTAAAAATAGGATAGAAAGAAATTCACCTGATCTTTGTAGAAAGAGCTTCCTCTGGTAAGCAGAAAGAATGACTGTATAGCCTAGAGGTATTCACACACAAGTGGACTGAGCTTGTCAGCTCTTTTTGCTTGGGACACAAAGAGCCATCGCTGAAGAACAGGGTCAAGTCTCACCTACTGACCTAGGTTTGGAAGGCAGCAGCAAAATGCGGAAATTCTGGTCTCCTTCGAGAAGCTGACTTGCATGTGCTTTGCTTTATTCTCTCCAGCAGCATCCCACTGAGAAAGGCTTAAGCAGATGAAAAAATTAAAGACTTGCCCTTTCTCCAGGTAGACAATTAATTAACTGCTCTGAGGTCTCCTGCGAACGTACAACCTTCTCCTATGGATCGGAAGTCTCCGCAGCTGAGTATTTCCACGCCTTTGGCTCTGCAGAGCATTCAGTCGAAGGGGAAGGATGGTTTTGCTGATGACATTGAGGCGTTCATTCAGTTCTTCCAGCCTTTTCCTTATCGACTGGACTTCCCTCACGAGATTGTCCACAGCCGCAGAGACAGGGCGGAGACTACAGATAGAGTAATACAGGAGAGTAACTCAGTTTAGGGAGTGTTCCTGAGCATGCAATGTAATTTACCATGACCTTGTGTTTCCTAACAGGTAAGGGCCCTTAATGATGAAAGAGCTGCAAACAACCATTAAAAGATGCTTCCAAAGCTTCCCTTCCCCTTGGGTGTTGGGAATTCATCTGAGGTGCCACATCTGAACCCAGGAAACCATGAGCTTCAGGATCAGCATGGGCAACATGGTCTTTCTACCGTCTGATTTTAATTAGTATTATTTAACTAGGAGTAGACATGGAGTCTGGGCCAGCGATTCCCATGCAGTACTGTTAGTCTTCTACATTTCCAATGAACCAGTCTGTGTCCTTGCCAGCAAACTCTTAATTGTAAACCCAATGCAGGAAAAATGGCTGGGTAGTCTCATTACATCTTCCTGGACTAAAGTTAGAACTTTCCAAATACAGGATTTAATATCATCCCTGTTAATCTTAGGCATCAATGAATTTCAGCACTGTCAGTGTAAAAGCTGTGATGAATTCTGTGCTAGAATCAACAGCCAACATGCAAACAGGGAGAAATCCACTTGATGTCAAAGGCAACATATAATCTATGAACTATATCCTCCTAAAACCCTAATTTGTACAGATATTGTGTGACCTTTTGACTAGTGCCTTTTTTATTCTTCTAGCCTTTTCAACTGGTTCAATGGGTAGCAACTGCAAATGGATTTTTTTTATTGTTCCTAAAGAGAAAGATGAATTATGGAAGATGACCACTTGCTTTATGAACAATTCTGATTTGAGTTATATTAGGTTTCTAGTAATTCCCACTACTACCCTCTCCTCTCTCTCTTTCGTTGCCTTTCCCACTCTGTTTCCGGAAATATGAGATTGAAGTAAATTTTGTGAATGTGCTCAACAGTTAATATTTCCTGCAATGCAAAGGGGAAATATGATTACATGAACTAGTGAATGGCTTCTCAGATCTATGTGTTAGAGACTGAAATAAAAAAACATCACAGGCCAAATTAGCTTCTTCTCCCTGCCTTGTGGCCAAGTCCATGTGTGGGTTTGTAGCACAATCCATTTTTTCCAGTCCGTTCTCACAGGAGTGAGGTGCCAATGACATTTTCTTTAGGATAATT